CTGAAATACACACAGACATTTTACTGAACACGCTATACACACATGTCATCCCCATCTCAGTCCACGTGCAGACTAGTCACTGTACACATCAGCCAATATTCCACTGCAAATATCAACTCACAGACAACCTTGTTTACCGAGAAAATGAACCTAGATATGAGAGGACATAACCAGTGATCTATCTTCTTCCCCCTGACATGCCAGAGCCTAATATATATTTTTCCATTGTCAGAGTTTACAAAGCCCAGCTTATAAATATATGAAGACAGGCCATGCGTTTATATCCAGACTATAGTCTATGACCAATACATTTACTTATTACATATGCAGGCTGTAGTTCCTTCTGAGTATTAAACAGAGATTTGTTCTGTAACTGAAAGTCTTCATTTTTCAGAAATGTTGGCAAAAATCATCAGATTTTGGTAAAATTTTGCCATTTTGTATAGTTTTTATTTAACCCCTTCACGCCGAGCGGCTGCACATTTGCGTTCATGTAACAAAAAACATATGTGCTGAGAGTGCACGCCCTGTGCGCTCCCAGCACACGTGGCTGGTACTCACGAAAAGGTCCTGGTCTGCTCTTTCCATCGGGACCTTTCCCGATCATGTGACTGGCCGTGACGTGACATCACGGCGGCCACATGACACTAAGCCCTGCCCACCTCCCGACGCAGGAACTCCTCTTCACGCCGGGACGATCCGGCGTGAAGGGGTTAAGTTGCAGTCACTTTAAATGGCTCCTAAGAGTTAGAGAAGCTTTTTTTCACTTATCCTGTGCCTATTCTCCTGTCAAACATTACTCCTCATTATCTCCAAAACCAACCCTGCTCTAAGGGCTCATGTACACTGCAGCTGATAAACTCACGTTTAGGAGCTTTTCTGCGTTTTTTTTTTCAGCAGCCCCTGAACTCTCCCTAATGTTTTCCTATGTGTCCATGTACACATAGTCATTTACAGGCAGTTGAGTTTACAGTCATTTTTTTGAACGCACCAAACCTGCGTTCAGGAGTAGATTTTATCAGCGTTTCAAATGCTTGTAAACGTGACTAACCGCATTTATAAACGTTTGTGTTTAGAAGCAATTTTTAACTGTTCCATATCCAGATGCTGTCCAGAGCCTTTTTTTATCATCAGAATGCATGCAAAGCTTTTTCCATGTATTCAAATGGACCCGGTACACCAGTGCAGTCAGTTCCAGGTTTTGCGTGAAGGAAAAAATGGTAGAAAGTGCTGCATTATACTCATGATGGGATCCATAGTGAATACAACCAGAAAAGACAGGTAATCTCAACACATACTGCTCTCTCTGCTTCTGCTCTCTCGATTTATTATTATTATACAGGATTTATATAGCGCCAACAGTTTGCTCAGCGCTTTACAATATAACGGAAGACAATACAGCAACAATACAGTTCAATACAAGATGGATAGGAGGGCCTGATCTTTGGAGCTTACAATCTAGGAGAATATTATTATTATTATACAGGATTTATATAGCGCCAACAGTTTGCTCAGCGCTTTACAATATAATGGGAGACAATACAGCAACAATACAGTTCAATACAAGAGGGATAGGAGGGCCCTGATCTTTGGAGCTTACAATCTAGGAGATTATTATTATTTATTATTATTATACAGGATTTATATAGAGCCAACAGTTTGCTCAGCGCTTTACAATATAACGGGAGACAATACAACAATACAGTTCAATACAAGAGGGATAGGAGGGCCCTGTTCCTTGGAGCTTACTCTATTTCTCTCAAAATGTCTGAAATATTTAATTTTTTTACTGTTTTTCAGTGCATTCTGAGCATTTTGGATGGTCTCCTGATGTTATCTTTAAAAAAAAACACATCTAAAGGCAAACATGCATAAACGCTTCTAAACGCGGTATGCAAACGCAGCTAAAGAGACGTTTTTTTAACCTACGTTTTCAAGCAGTCAGTTTTCATCGTTCAGAAGTGTTTTTTGTCCTGTGTACATGAGCTCTAATGAAAATTAACCTACTGTGTAAAAATAACAACCAATAAATAAAGTGTCACTGCTGCCAAAATACACAACTTTGTATTGGTTCTTTCTTTTTAGTGGTGGATGACACATACCGGAACGTGTTGTATTTCTGGACTTTTGTTTTATTTTTTGGTTATTAGTTTGTATTATGTATCTGTATGTGCATAATACAAAAAATCAGTAATAATTATTTGATTTAAAAAAAAACAAAAACAAGAAAACAAAATTCAGAGTAGCACTTTCACTAAGTCTTGGTTCACACTACTGCTACCTGAAAGTCATGCGACTTGCAGTGCGACTTTGCCAGGCAACTTGAGTACTACTGTGAAGCAACGTTAAGGGAATGCCTGGGTAATCTTCCTGTAATGTTGGATCCAAACCACATCAATATAGATGAGGATCGGAGTTGGAGGCGACTTCTATTAAAGTATATGGACACAAGTCGGATAGAAGTCTCCTTGAAGTAGTACAGGAACCTTTTCTAAAGTTGGATCGACTTCAGTAACACTAATTAAGATGGCTCTCATTGACTAACATGGGATTTCGCATGTCATGCGACTTGTGGTCTTACAAGTCGGATCTCAAGTGGTGGCAGTGTGAACCGAGCCTAAAGCTCCTCCATAAAAAAAGAATACATAACAAAACCATACTATAAATAAATAAATATATATTTTTTTTTATTAATTTACAGAGGAGCTTTAGTAACAGTGCTACTTTGAATTTGAAATTTAAATTACCCCTCTTAGCCTCATTATTTTGCAGGAAGCAAAAAACAGAACGAGAAGTAAAAAAAGAGACAGTACACAAATAGCAATTAACCACTTCAGATCAGGAAGATTTTACTCCCTTCATGACCAGGCCATTTTTTGCTAGATTATTATATTATTATACAGGATTTATATAGTGTCAAACTGGCGGCCCTCCAAGCTGTTGCCAAACTACAAGTCCCATCATGCCTCTGCCTTTGGGAGTCATGATTGTAACTGTCAATCTTGCAATGCCTCATGGGACTTGTAGTTTGGCAAGAGCTGGAGGGCCGCCAGTTTGACACCTGTGGTCTATAGTATATTGTTATTGTAGACTTTCCTAGAAGATCCCTATTGTTACTAGAGACCCACACAATGAAAAAATGTGTCTCATTTCTGATTCATTTGATAAGTAAATCATTTTGTTTTGAAAATGTGGAATAGACTCCCTCAAGAGTTGGTTCTGGCCAGCTCAGTGGATTGCTTCAAAAAAGTCCTGGATTATTTCCTACATACACAGAATATAACTGGATACTAACATTTATAGGTAAAGTTGATCCAGGGAATATCCGATTGCCGCTCGGGGGATCAGGAAGGAATTGTTTTCCCAGCAGGAGCAAATTGGATCATTCTTTGCTGTTTTTTTTTTACTTCCTTTGGATCAACTGTGGGTATAGGATATAACTTTTTTTTTTTAATGGTTGAACTGGATGGACTTTTGTCTTTTTTCAGCCAGACTAACTATGTTTCATCATATTCATTATGTTAGAATGATTCGTTTTTGGAATTCGTTTTGTATACTCGGATTCCTTCCATGTATATTTGTTGCTCCGAATCGATTTGTATTTTCGGAAGTTATTTCGGAAGATTGGCTATATTCGTTTTGTCGTGTCATTTCGTTATTTTGGGAGATTACCTAAACACTCTGAGAGATTACCTATACAGTCTGAGTTATCCCTGCTAGTCCAACCCACAAAGAGAAATTTAATGAGATGATTGGACAATATTGACTGAAGTCACATGTATCCGAAAGTAACGAATGGAACAAAGTTAATTTCGGATTCATTTGTTGTCATTATTCGGAGATTCTGATGGTTCCACCTCCATCCAACCCAAACACAATAAGAAGGAATCATCTTATTTCACTTTTATACCTTATTGTATTTATTGCAATATGTTTCCATTTTATATGTAGTGTTATAATAATGAAAAATATTAATGCAAAGAGAATCGGCTGATTTAGACTCAAAGACTATTGTGTCACTCTCATCCGAATAAAATGAAAGGATCCAAATCAATTTGGACCATTTGTTATGTCGTTACTGTATTTCGGATGCTTCAGACATTAACAAAAGGCCCAAACTATCGCATCATGTCATCCAAATGAAATGAATGAATTAGTAATATTTTTTAAAATATTTTTATGCGTATATGTTTAGTGTTGCGAATTTCATCTCTTGAAGGTATTTTTCCTTTTATTCAGTCTTTTGGGTCTTTTTCTTTTGTTTTCAGATATTTTGTTAGTTTTCAGTGTACACTGATTAGATTTATAGTTTTTCTATTTTATTGGCCTATCCAGCTTGCGTGTCCTTCCAGCAGCCATGAGAAGCGCCATTTTGTCTGGGCTATACAGAGGATTGAATGTCCAATCAAATTATACCACACTTTAATCATTACTATCTTGTATATCGTTTGCAACTCATGATATATGTATGAATTCCTTAGTAAGTGGCCCTCCACCAACTTTTGAAATTGCTTTACAGCAGTGAGGCCGGCCGGCATGCACGTCCTCCCTCAGAGCCGGATGGAACGCACGCTGGAACGTAGCGGCGGTGTGGCCGTGATGACGTCAGATCCCAGGGTGCACTGCGATGCGTTTCGGAGCATGCACTGGCCGGCCTCACCGCTGTTTCCCTCCAGCCACCACGCTGTTCCAGCCGAGAGCTGACCTCCCCACATCGCAGAGAGAGATGACGGCTCTTCACCCGGGTTACCACCCCACCGTTAACTATTGTTAACCACGGTTTTTAAGCTTATGATTACTTCACTCATGTGAGTGTTTCTACATTTAGACTTGAATAAAAAGACTTATTGCACTTAGAGGCGCTTCTCTCCTTTTTCTCACCTGTGATAATTAGATTGGCCGGTGAGCCCAATTTAAGGAAAAACTACTAAAGGAGGGTGTTCCACATTATTAAGCAGAGCACCATTTTCAAGCAATATGGGGAAGAAAAAGGATCTCTC